TAAGGAGTTGGATATTTAAAGATGTAGGATATTTTTAGTCTTTCGAGATATAATTATTATTATTTTTTTCAAAAGTGTCCCTATTGATAATAATTTTATATTTGTTATAAGGTATTTAATAGAGATAAATATAAAAAAATAGAGTTAATTTAAAAATATATAACTATTTTATTGAAGGATAAGATTTAATTAAAAATGTTATATATTTTTTAACAAAGGGAATATGTATTTGATTGAGAATTACACAACGTGTCATTATTTTTATCTATTAGTTAATTTTATTATTAGATTGGAAAATAAACATTCAAGATAATGTTTTGTTAATAATCAAAAGATAAGATCTGACTCCTGAGCGAGCTCACTTGTGATATGAACATTGGAATTTTCAAGATTAACTCAATTATCTTTTGTTTTGATTGGGAATTTAAATTATTTATTTAATTAGGAAGGGCATGGTTTCTTTCTCCTTCTCGAGCGACTCTATATAACAATAGGAATCCGCCAATTGCTTCTCTATCTCCTTTCATACACGCCTTCATCTCAACCCTAACCCTAGATATCTCCTCCTCCTCCGTCCAAAAGTTTCCTTATTCCTTAATCTGCTTTCTTTCGCTTAGATTCTTGTCTTGTATCGATCGGCTGCAGGTACGAGTTTCTTATTGGTCATTTATTATTTTTATCATATTTTAATTTTTGGCTATCTGATTGTTTATATTGCTTATTCCTACGGTTTATTTGTTCGTGACTTCTAGTCGTGCAATCACAGATCATAATTAATACCAGTTCTTGGTTGTATCTTTAACGCGTCTGATGGAATACATGTAACCGATTTTGTTTTTGGTTCAATGGATGCATCCATATGTCGTTGACAATCTCTTCCTCTCTCTCTCGTTATATACCTCTATCTGTTATAGATTCAGGGGAAATCGATTCTGTTTTGAGTTCGATGAATAAATGTTTGTTGGGAATTAGGAATTTCAAATCAGCTTTTGGGTTTTGGCTTGTTATTTTACTCTACATAGTTAATATCTGAGTTTTTTGTTGTAGTATTTTTTGGAATAATTTTCATTCACATGCGATGCTATTTCATTTGAATCATTGCTTTCTTATTTTAACCAATCGATGCCACAAATTGAAATCAGATTTAATGTGTTTGTGATATAAGGGATTTCTGCTGTAATACAGAGTGGAGCTTACGATCTATAAATTATGATTTGACGAACTACTGCAAATCTTGCTGGAAGTCTCGACTTCTCTATTTTATGTTATTTCATATCGTAGTCATAGTTAATTTTGATTTATAGATACTTAAGTTCTTTAGAATATATGCAGCACTGTTTATACTTCAAATTAGTGGAAGATCATTACCTTGCCTTTTCCAGGACTTGATGGGTGGAATAATTGTGCTTTCAACTAGTCCTTGTTTGTAATTTGCCTGCTCCCTTCTTTTCAGTGACTTCCCTGTCTATTAAACTTTTAGCATTGTAAGGATTGTTGATAATTCTCACATGAGAGTTGTTGGCTTTTAAATAAACCTCCCACTTCCACTTATGCTATCCAAGTAACAACTATTCTTGTTATTGATTTAGGATCCCTGCAGGTTGAGCAGATTCTGAGGTGAAGGTGTTGCGTTGAAGGGTTTTTTATGTCCGAACAGGCCATCATCTATTTGGGATCAGTTGGGTTGCTTGGACAGTATTTTCCTTCGTCTAGAAAAAAGTACAGGCCCCTGCCCAGAAAAATCAGCTGCATGCATCTCGAGCCATATCAGGAATCCCCCGAGTTCTGTGGTTGCTGCTGGTGGCAGCCTCCTATAGTTACAGGAGGGTCTTATTCCCAAGTCCTTGCAGCCTTTAAGGCCAAGACTGCTGCTTCTGGTTCTTCAAATTACAAAATTTGCTGTGCTTGATATCTAGATTATCTTTTGGAATTTCACTACTTATCATCATGGCTTTACAAAACATTGGAGCTGGAAACAATGATGATGCCTTCTACAGATATAAGATGCCCAAAATGATCACCAAAATTGAGGGTAGAGGTAATGGCATCAAAACCAATGTAGTTAATATGGTTGATATTGCAAAGGCATTGGCAAGGCCAGCTTCTTACACAACCAAGTATTTCGGTTGTGAGCTTGGAGCCCAATCGAAATTTGATGAGAAAACGGGGACTTCTCATGTTAACGGGGCACATGAAACTTCAAAGCTTGCCGGTCTTCTGGAGAACTTCATCAAAAAATATGTTCAGTGTTACGGTTGTGGAAATCCGGAAACTGAGATCATGATCACCAAGAGTCAAATGATCCAGCTGAAATGTGCGGCCTGTGGCTTTGTGTCAGATGTGGATATGAGAGACAAGCTGACCACCTTTATACTCAAGAATCCTCCTGAGTTCAAGAAAGGGTCCAAAGACAAGAAGGCCATGAGGAGGGCTGAGAAGGAGAGACTGAAAGAAGGTGAAGCAGCTGATGAGGAGCTGAAAAAGTTGAAAAAGGAGGTTAAGAAGAAGGGTTCTTCCACTTCCAAGGAGGGAGCCACAAAATCCAAAAAGAAAGCCAATGGCTCTGATGAAGACCGTGCATCACCCACCCACAGTCAAATTCGGGAAGAAGCTCCTGTTGAGGACGAGGATGATGATGAAGATGTCCAATGGCAGACGGATACATCACTGGAGGCTGCTCGCCAGCGTATCCAAGAGCAGTTAAGTGCTGTGACGGCTGAGATGGTCATGCTGTCGACAGACGAGCCAGAGAAGAAGCCAAAAGCAGCTAATGAGGTGAATGGTGGGCTTGAGAACGGAAACTCAAGTCCCTACAGGTCTCTGGTTGAGGATGTCAAATCTTATTTGAAGAAGGGTCCATCTGCTGAGGAACTGCAGCACCAATTAGCAGGGCTCACTGCATCCTCTCAGGAAAAAATGAATGCTCTGTTTGAGGCCCTTGTTGACGGTGTTGATAAAGGATACGCCAAAGAAGTTGTCAAGAAGAGGAGCTACCTTGCTGCTGCTGTCGCCGGGGAGGAAGGATCGCAGATGCTTTTGCTCCATGCAATGGAGGACTTCTGTTGCAAGAGCGGCTCGAATGCTTTGAAGGAGATTGCGCTGATGCTGAAGGCACTCTATGATGCTGATGTTCTGGAGGAAGAGCACATAGTGCGGTGGTATCAGAAAGGGCTGAAGGGAGACTCCAAGGACGCTAAGATATGGAAGAATGCTCAACCATTCATTGAATGGCTTCAAAATGCAGAATCAGAATCAGAGGAAGAATAATGTGTTGTGTTGAAGTTTCTTTTTTTGTTCTATTTCGTATCTTGTGTCTTCGGTTTCAAATAAAGGGTCTAGTTGGCCCTATGTTTGCTGAGCGTTGCTATAGACTGAGATTTGTTGCATTTTGTACTCGATTCTGGGTGACCCATTTTGGGCTGAGCTGGGATGTCGTGCGTGTTATTTCTGTTATTTCTATTTTGTATTGCTTAATCGTGTTTGTCTGAAATCGTCTGTGTTGTGATGTTATGAAATTTCCCTATTTAGATGATTTTTAAAGAAGTAGAAGTATTGTACTTATCGCAGTCATTTAGTTAACATGACACAATCTTACTAAGATTACTTAAAAATAATCTTGTAGTCTTAGTGGCATGGCATGTAAGATTTTTTTAGAGCGAGAGGTAGGATCAGTCTTGCTTTTAATTTTAGGCTGCCTTTCTAATTCAACCTGGGAAAAAAAAAAAGAAATTAATACTAAGTCACCCAAAGCCTTCATAGTGTCCAGATGAATTCAAATTGATTCGGTTAGCAGTTCTTCTGAAAAATTGCTTCGAAATAAAATGAATATTGAAAACCTCCGAGTGTCTGATGCTTTTGGTTTTGTTAGAGAAACATTTTAATTGAGACAAACTCAATTGCAACTGATTCTTCTGATTTTACTAGAGGTAACATACTATTTAACATTACGTTGTTCATGCATGATAAACAGTACTATGACTTATTTGTTATGAAAGTAAAATAACGATTTTTTTTTTTTTTTGGAACATACGTTGAAAGCATGGATATGGCTTATTTGATAAACATAAGCTAAACAACAACAAATCTTATTCTACTAGGTGAGATGAATTGCATGATATTATTATATTATATTAACAACCAAACTTATTAGGACGCTAACGTGATATAAGTGTGTATTTAACTTTTAATTTGTTAAAAGTTTATTTGGTAAAAATTAATTTAATAAAAGTCAATTGTTATAATGAAATTTATGTTTAGATACATTTTTTCAAAAGTCAGTTCATACACTAAAAATTGTTTGGATTGTGATAGTAAAATGTGCTTTTAAATATACAATTACAAAAAAGGACATTAATTTATGATAATTTATAATTTTTATTATACAAATGTAATATATTTAAAGTATTTAAAAATGTGATAAAAATTTTAAATAATATAAAATTTGATCTATAATGCTAAAAACTTGATCTCTAGTTATTTATACTTTTTAAATTTGTAACTTTAAAAAATGTGATAAAAATTTATAATTTTTATTGTACATTAATACTAAAAACTAACATGATTAATTATTCAATTTATAATGCTAAAAACTTAATACATAATTATCATTATTGAAATGATAATTATATTTTTAATAAATTAACTATTTTTAAAATAAAAGAATAAGAGATTAAACTTGAAATAGTATGCTAAAATATCATCACACTTTTCAAAAGTTTTATTATTTTAAGTTGGCTAAAAACACATTCAACAATATTTGAAAAGGACTTTTTAAATAAACTTTTCAAAAAAAATTGAAAACCAAACACCTGACTTTTGAAAAGTTAAAAAATACTTTTCAAATGTTAAAAGCTGCCAAACCAAATGGACCCTAAATTTATGTAAAATAAATTTTACTCAACTGAATCAAGAAACTCCTAATTAAGAATAATACTCTGCACCTAAATTATAAATTATTGCTGCACGGAGCCACGGACTTTGGACCTAAATTCTCAGAAAAATTGAATGAAAATAAGCATGCAATAAGACATTTTATATATTTTTAACAACTATTAAGTATATTATCATATTACTTTGTTATATCTTTCCAAGTTCCAGCCCCACCCATTATATCTATTTCCACCACCAAAGAACTATCTATGTACAACAGTTGTTTCTAGTTGCATCAATTTATGTGCCTTCTTCGCCACCGGAATCATGGAATCTTAAATAACCAATCTTCAAGTGACCATCTTGTTCATCTCAACACATAAACGTTGATCGAGGAGTCTACTTCACCGTGTTGGTCCGTACCATCCGCATCTTCTCATCATAGTGAAATCTTCATCCAAGGTTGATAATAACTTACGAAGGACAAACTAATTAAGTGACGTTTCCTTCGTAATTCTCAACCAAAAACATAAAAAATAAAAAATCAGAAAGCAGAAATCTTTTAACATCTCAGCACTATATGATATCTGATCAATATTTCGACGTAACAGCAAGTATTAGCTCTGAAAATTTACCAGAATCTTGTCTGATCACAAGATATGAATGACACGAGACTGAGGCTGTTCCAGCTCACTCTCCTCATGTTGCAGAATAGAGGCGTAATGATCCTATTAAGAAGGGAATACGAAAAAAAAAAAAAAGTTTAATTTTACAGCCTAAGAGATAGTAAACCTATGATAAATCAGTTAAAATCTGAATTGCAGTAGACTTGAGCAAGCAATGTACAGGAAAAGCTAATTTATTTTGCCCTTCCTTTTCTTCAGAAATTAAGTACTGTGCTTTTTTGTGAACTTATTTTCCAGTTCTAGTAGGTATCGGTTGTCAAAAAAGTCTAAATTCTACAATGAAAATAAATAAAATTACTCAACAATTGTTAGTCTACAAGAATTTATGTTTGGTCAGTTTGGATGGAGGAGAACGGAAAAGTCAAAAGAATGGAAGAGAAGGGAGACAAATATTCAACTTAGGCTAAGTCAAGAGAAATTTCTAAAATCTAAATCAAACCTAACTTTCCTTTCCTGTCCTGTCCATTCTCCTGAATCTAAACATGCACTAAGCTCATTATCAGGTCTATTATTCTCCTTCTGATCCTAAATATAGGTCATTTTCTAGAAGGAATTTGTGGTTGTAAATAGTAAATACAAGTCACTTCGCATGAGTTTTCGTGGTATTTAATGCTTTTCTCCAAAAATAACCTTCATTAAAGCGAATAGAAAGAGCATTTGATTTTCAATTGATAGCATTAATTAGGTGCAATGATGGGAACTAAAGAGAGTAACAAGGTAACCACACATTCTAAATGAGAGTGACAAAATAGAATATAACTACATCCGGGGTCCACTTCTATGTTGCAGTCATTTTTCTTTTCTCTGTATCCCTATTCTAATGTAAGCAGTGTAGCATATACAATCGTCTTTTAGGAAGAATCACATCCAAGTATCTGACAAGAAACTTATTTGCAAAATAAAGACTAGTAACAAGTCCCATTGGACCAAAAAACAAGTCCATATTCCTATTTTAATAACAATTCATTCTATATTGGTCTTTGTTTGCAAATAAGTTCTCTGCTAGGACCTTGGATGTGATTCTCCCTTGCTTTTATTACAACATAAGATCCAAATTGAGTACGCAGTGATAGAATTTCAAAAGCAAGCATTAATTCTCTTGCTCGTCTGCCACCTTAATTAGGGGAAAAAACATTAGATTAGCAAACCTGGTATCGTCGCCGTTGGATAATGGTAAATGCCTTAACCATTATACATACAGGTAGAAGTATTGCAATTGTTCTAATGACCAGTAACTGCAATTCATAAAAATAAGATTGTCTTTAGATTAATGCTTCTGCATCATAAGTTTATCAACTTTTTATCATATGAATGAATATAATGTTCATCTTCCTTTACCATATAGAGAGTCAATGAATATTCCCCAGCTCCACTGAGTATAATGGGAAGGGTATGGCGTAAAACAAGAAGAGCAATAAGCTGAAAAGGAAACAACCTCATTGTTAGCATGGTAAAGAGAAACATGTCTTTTTTATATGATAATTTGTATAAAAGTATGCAATTTCTCAGGGGCCAAAAATATGGTCAAGAAAGTTATCCTAAA